CCGCCCCCCCCCCGGGGCCTGAGCTCCCACCAGTTGTGTGCCTCTGTTTCTGCTTTCAGAAGTCCTAACCTGTGCTCTCCGCCCAGCCCTGGCTCAGTTCTCTGCTCAGGATACAGAGAGCTGGAAGCAACTCCCTGCTCAAACTTGTCTGGCCCAGATCTCAGGTGCGGAGAGGACAGGGCAGGGGCCCTGGTGTGAGGCCAGCTTTGAGGGTGATAGCAGCAAATGAAAGACAGCAGGAGGGAAGGGAGGCAGAGAGGCTCAGTTCGGAGGCTCCACTGAGAGCCTGTTGAGCACCCGGGGACCTGGACGGTAGGAACCAAGAGGCAGTGACTTCACTCGGACCTGGCCAACAGGCTCACAGCCACGCAGACGTGAAAGTGAGCAGCAGCCAGGATTCCCACCATCACAGCCTCAGAGCTGGACACTGACCACAGGACACAGGAGCTGCCCCAGGGAAGAGCCGAGCTGAGCCTCTGCCTGGGCGGCAGGGTTCTCGCCACACAGACGTCCGGACCTTGCTGACAAGCCCTCAGTGGAGTGTCCGAGAGGTAGCTGCCCTACGGGGGGATACCAACTGCAGCGGTGCACACCTGTACTCAGCCTGGGAGGCTGAGGCAGGAGGATCTCAAGTTCCAGCACAGCCAGGGCAGGATAACAAGACTCTATCTCAAAGTAAAAAATAAAAAAGGATTGGGGATTTAGCTCCGTGCAAAGGCTCTAAGTTTAATCCCCAGAACCAAAAGAAGAACTCGAAGATGGGCAAAGATAAAGGGATTAATGCTCACTGAGGCCTGGTTGATGTGCACTGCCCCGCTTCCCAGATTTCCCATTCTTTTTTCCTTTTCGTGCTGGTTTACAACCCATCTGTCTGCTGTGGATGAGATCCCTCTCCCGATGCAGAAGCATAACCAGGCTGGATTCCGGGACAGCCCCGTGCCTCAGCCCAGCAGCCGGAAGTCTCTCTCTGCCCTGCACCCCGGCTCTCACCGGGACCCGTGGGGACTGCCGTGTCCTGGTGAGGAGCAGAGGAGGTGGCAGAAAGCTTCGCAGCCACACTCACGCTGAAGCTGTGCGTACGTGTGTGCATGCACACGCGTGTGTCTGCGTGTGTGTGTGACAGGAGGCCAAGTGTTACTTGCACTTCTCAGTGTGGGTGTCCCCACAAGCCCAGGTGGGCTCGTCCACTGAACCCAGCCCTGAATCCATATCCCAGGGTCCAGAGCAGAGCCCTGGTGCTGTCTGCCGAGCAGGCGTGGTCAGTCAGCCCTGCCCGGGTGCCCTGGCTCTGGGGGTCGCGTCCGTTGGCTTTTTGCTATGACTGACTGGGCTGTGCAAGTCCCTGGCCGGATCTACATAGCCGCCCCCACCAGGAACCGCAGGTGCCGGTGTGGGGAGCCCAGGCCCCCGCCTCGAGGTCCTGCGACACCAGGAGGGGCCTCAGGCCACGCCCCTCCCCACCTTCCCCTCTCCGGCTCCCCTGGACGCCTCCTGTCACCTCCCCAGCCCATCAGATGCAGCGCCTGCCGCCACAGATTCCAAGGCAGGTCTCAGGTGAAGCCCAGCCCTCCCTGGTGATTCTGAAGGTATCAAACTGGGAGATGCCACATCAGGAATGAGTGGCGCACACCTGTAATCCCAGCACTCCAGGGGCTGAGGGGCAAGTTCAAACCCAGCCTGGGAAGCTTGGTGACTTAGTGAAATCCTATCTCAGAAACCACGACGGGCTGGGGATGCAGCTCAGTATGGAAGCCCTGGACGCTGACCACTGCTGAAAATTCAGCCCTGATCATTTGGGTTTTCCCAAGAGTAGCCCGGAGTTAAGGACCTGAGAGGAAGTGGTTATTTGGGCTGCAACCCCAGGAAACCTGGGTATGGAAGTGAGGACAGGAAACGGGGCTGGGAGGCCAAGCACCAGTGCGGACTGAGCTGTGCCCACCATGGGCCCTGGTGCCGAGCTGTGCTGGGGACCCCACGGGCCAAGGCACACAGGCTGCAGGGTGAGCCCAGGGGCAGCAGGGTGTCAGACCCAGTCTGCCTGCATCACTGGAGAGAGCGGCCCCTGGGAACCGCCGTTCCCCAGCTCTGAAACCCACATCCGTGAGCCCAGCAGCGAGCAGAGTCCCAGGCCAGGGCAGGCGCCGGCCTGCACAGCAGAGGTGCACAGGGCACCACGCACGCCTCCTCAACACCTGCACACCCTCTCGCAGCCCACGCGTGCAGCCTGGCTCTTCCCATCGCAGCAAGGAAGCAAGCGCACACGAGCAGAGGAGAAAGAAGCAACTGCGCCCGGGAGACCTCAGCAGAGTCTCTAGATGCTTCTTCTGGGCCCATCTGCATCTTCCCGAGGAAGGCAGATGGCGTGGGAAGTTCCAGGCTGGGCTGTGAACACCCCCAGCTCTTGGCTCTGGATTTTCTCGGCTGGGGCGAAGCACATGCGTGTGCCTTTAGCAGCCTGGCACCGCCTGCAGCAATCAGGTTGCCAAGATGGAGCTACGCCTTCCTCATGCCCTCTGCACCCATCCTCTTTAATACTGACACCTGGTATGCAAGGGCGGGTCACGCAGGGCCCAGAATAAACCTCTGCCACTCAACACTTTTAGTGGACTGGAGCTTTCAGTGTTGCTTCCTCTGCTCCTACCTCAGTGGGCTCCCGTCCGCAGACAGGTGAGTGCCTCCACTCTCGGGGTCTCATGCTGACATCGGTCTCTGCCTTAAGATACTTAGTGTCTGAGTCACTTTCTTGTCACTGTGACAAAACCCTTAAAGGAAGAACGTTTGTTTTGGCTCATGGCTGTAGAGGATTCAATCCATGATCAGCTCCAAGGTAGGAAAGCACAGTAGGAGGCTGGGAGGAGGACAGCTGCTCACTTCATGGGGACCAGGAAGCAGACAGCGGGGGGACCAGCAGGAGGGAGACACGCCCTGACCTGGTCCCATTTCTTAGCATCACACATCGCTGCGGCACCCCCAGGCCTCGCCTTCCAAGCCCCGCCTCTGAGTACATGAAGCTGAGGGGACACCTGGATCCAAACGTCACACTTAGCCTGTGGAAAGGACTAAAAATGCACTTTCTTCCCTCAGCCAGCAATCTAAGGTTTGTCCTCACCTCACCTGTCCTAGGACACAACCCCTGCCACTTTATGTGACGATGGTGCAAACCCAGGGCTGCAGAACCACACGGGGGTCACACAGGCAGCAGGTGGAGAGAAACCCTTAAAAAGAACGTTTGTTTTGGCTCAGGGCTGTAGAGGATTCAATCCATGATCAGCTCCAAGGTAGGAAAGCACAGTAGGAGGCTGGGAGGAGGACAGCTGCTCACTTCATGGGGACCAGGAAGCAGACAGCGGGGGGACCAGCAGGAGGGAGACACGCCCTGACCTGGTCCCATTTCTTAGCATCACACATCGCTGCGGCACCCCCAGGCCTCGCCTTCCAAGCCCCGCCTCTGAGTACATGAAGCTGAGGGGACACCTGGATCCAAACGTCACACTTAGCCTGTGGAAAGGACTAAAAATGCACTTTCTTCCCTCAGCCAGCAATCTAAGGTTTGTCCTCACCTCACCTGTCCTAGGACACAACCCCTGCCACTTTATGTGACGATGGTGCAAACCCAGGGCTGCAGAACCACACGGGGGTCACACAGGCAGCAGGTGGAGAGCTGGGGCTGGAACCTGCCGTCACTTCCACTGGAAATCCCTCGTCAGCAGGAAAAGAACAAGGTCTGCGTGTGGAAGACACATCTCTTGGGTGTTCCTCTGGGGCAAACTTTGTATCTCTCAGTGCCTCTGCTCCACAACGAGGGGGAACAGGAGAGGGAGACACAGCAGGATCTTCCTGGGGCTGACTGCACCCCATGTCCTCCTGACCCTGGCCACCTGCACTGCGGGGACAGTTCTGGCACAGGCGAGGGCTTCCGAATGGCACTCTGCATCTGTCCCCCGCCGACACGAGTGGCACATCTGCCCACCAGCCCTGCCTGCCCAGTAAATGTCTCCTTGATGTCCCGCTGTTCTTTGGGTACAGGAACCCAGACCAGAGCCCAAAGTACAAGTCAGCGTTCTTGTTTGAGGGCCCTGTCTCTTTCCTCCCAGCTCCCCGCCTGGAGCTTACACGAGAAATGCAGTGTGGTAAGATCGGAGCCTCCCCCGCTCCCTCACAGGTTCCCGGGAGCCCTGGGCACAGCACCCAGTCTTCCCTGCGCTGCAGCCTGCCTGCGGCCAGCTGTTCCAGGGGAGCCTGTGGGCTGCAAACAAACTCCTTCCCTCTTAGCGCCCAGGTGCTGGGCAGCTATGCAATGGAGAGGGAGGCCCTGCTGTGGCCCTCAGCACCGTCACAGAGGCTGCTTGTGAGGCCTGGCTGTGCCCTGAGGGGCAGACTTGGTGAAGATCTAGAAAACTTTCACTTTGTGGCCAAACTCCTGCCATCCAGACACAGGGGCTCTTCAGCCTGAAATGTGTTTCCTCTTTTCTTAGGCTGCCATCCCCGCTGTGACCTCCATGCATTGCTCAGCACAGCACAGGACCCCAGACTTGATTCCTAATCCCGGACCTCTGAGCTGTCTCCAGGCCGCCACACTGGCCTCCTCATCTCCTGCTTCATCAGCCCTTGCTCCCCAGTCAGGTTTCCTCCCTCTCCAGACTGAGTCAGAATAGTAAGAAATGGGTCAAGCATGACCAGGCATCTGGATCCTCTATCTGACTCAACGTCCCCCTTGACGACAGCTGTTTCCCGCTGTCCGTCCACTGAGCTGAAACGACACCCACAACCGTTATGACCTACATGCATCCCACCTCTGCCCAAGCTCTGGCCTGGCTCCTCCGACTCTTTCAACCATGGCCTCTAAAGACCTGAACAGACACCGCCACGGTTTCAGAGAGCTCAAGGCCCATGCTTAGGACGACCCTCCACCACCCCAAAGTACCTGCCGGAGGGAGCCAACGCTACCAAAAGAATGGGCTGTTGCAGCCACCCCTAAAGACAGGGCCCTGTCGCCGGCCAGCGTGGGAGGGCAGGGCCTGACTCTGACGGAGGCCAGTTCACATCCAGACATGCACCCACCACCTCCTCCCCCGCCCACACAGCGCCTGGTCCCCCTGGACCACCTGAGGCTGAGCGGAGCCGCGCCAGCCCCTCCCTTGTGCAACTCGTACTACTGATTGAGTCAGCCCTGACCTCCCGTCCACCTCCCAGTACTGCCTGAGAACCAGTGCCGGGCTGCACGTGTGCGACATCTCTAACACAGAAAGAAGTGCCTTACGATAAGCCACATGGGTCTCGGTATATAAACACGCAGTCTCAGCCAGCTGGAGGACGCACACAGCGTTAGGCACAGGCACCCACTTAGAATAACTCTGGGCTTCAGGAAAGTCACATTATTTACTACTGACTTACACAGAGTTTTTCTATACATTTGATACTTTGCAATAAAAGCCGAACAATATAAACACGGGCTCTGTGAGCCGGACAAGCGGACGCATGATTGACTCCGGTGTGCCACACATGGTTTGGACCTGTGAACGGTGCTGAGACAGGTGACAGGCTTTTTTTGAAATGCTGTCAGAATCCGTAGTATGAATCTTTCTGGATGAGACAACCCTTGCGTCCCCAGAGAGCGATCTCAGGGGTGTTAAATGGACCACCTGTCGGCCCGGGTGGCATGAAGCAGCGCCCAGGCATGGGTTAGAGAGCAGATTCTCCCATGCACGCCAGCGGCCGCCCAGTGTTGTACTTGCGCCCAAATCCTTGCACGCTCCCAAGCTGCCACCCAAGGACTGCAAGGAGTACCCACCTGCCTCACCTGTGCACAGCAGAGCCTGGGCTGCAAGGTCAGTGCCACAGCCTAGGCCGAGCTCTCACACCCCCAAGCTCGGTGGTCAGACTCTCTGGATGCCTGGCACTGGCTGGCGGCGGGGTCCCTGGAGGAAGCCGGATCATTTCAGGGCCACAGACTTACGTCCGCATCGGGGGAAAGCTGAGTCCTCAGGGCCACAGAGGTCCCAGCCCCCCTCAAGTAACCCGAGTCCCTGCTTGTGCACCGCCCCCAAGTGGAGCCCTAGAGCTTCTGTTCCCCATCTCCTGAAGGCCAGGCCCACCTGCCGCTGGTGTCCTGCTGGCTCCTGCTCCTCCTGGTGCTGGTGTGGAAAAGCTCAAGGAGGCCTCACTGGGCAGAGATAGCAGGCACGGCGGGGAGCCACCCCTCCTCCAGTACACTTATACTCTGCAAACAGCAGCAGAAGTGCTTCCAGAGTCCAGCAGTGACTCACCACGCACACTCTAGGGTCTTCTCTCTCCCGCTGACCCCGAAACCAATGCCCTACACCACACCCTTGTCTCAGGCTCTGCTTTAGCAGGAACCAAACTAGGCCAAAGGGCTCTACGGAGCCCTCGCTGCTCACAGTGACCACAGAAAGTGCCTGCTTTCCCACCAGATCACTGCAGTGAGTGCGGGGACAGAGGCCTCACGGCCCGAACGGTAGTGCTGTTGCTGTTCAGGGAAATCAAGACCCCAGACAGCAGCCTTCAAGCCAGTGCCTTCTGATCATATAGACGGCTGCCTGGTCTCTTTCAAGTGGGACTTCTCAGTCAGTAGGAATAGTGAGTCAGGGGTCCCACGCGTCCTGGAAGTCCAGCCTCCTGCTGCCCACGGTGGGCGTGTGTCTTTGAGACAGATGCTTCCCACAGCACAGGGTCTTTCTCGGGCCTGCTCTTTGGGGACCCTCACCCTAATTCCTTTCACCCAAATGACACGGAATCCCTATTCCAAATCAGCCCCCGTCAGCCTGCTCCTCACCGTGCTCCAGTGCTCCAGCCCCTCCCTGACCCCAGCAGCAGGGAACAGGGCCTGGGAGCCTCCCGCAGCGCTGGGGACACGAGGCAGCAGGCAGAGGGCAGAGGACAGCAGGAAGGGCACCACTGCTTTCATCCCTTTCACCCCGAGCGCACGAGGAGAGATACAAGGCAACTCAACAGTAAGGGGACCGAGAAGCAGAAGCCACTGCCCTGACCAGTGTGCACAGCAGCTGGCCGGCAGAACTCCTGCACGTCCCAGGCCCTCTGCTGCCCTGGCCCCACGGCCTGGCCCTTGCTCCCCGTGGCTCCTCTGTGCCCCCACTGGAGGGGAAGCTCCACAAGCATAGGGGTCTGTCCTCTTTGCCCCGTCACATCCCAGCGGTTCCGTCTGCAGGAGGATCATGCTGGAATCAGACAGATCCAGCTGGGGGTTTGCCTGGGGTGACCTCAGAAGGCCTGAGCAGAATAAGACCAGGAAGGGGGACAACTAACTAAAGACGTTGTCAATGAGGCTAGGAGAAGTTTCCAGAAGCTTCTAGAACAGTCCCTTCAGAGGAGGCCAGGGGCTTGCACCCCACCCTGGGTGTCTCCAGGAGACGACAACCTCCTCCCCAGCCCTGCCAGGCTTTCAGGGAGAGGAGCAGAAAGGGGCTCTGGGAGCTTGTGGTGGGGACCCTGCCTCAAGGCCCCAACCTGCCCGCTGGCCAGGGAGGGTGGAATGCATGCAGAAGGCACAAGGATATAGATACATATTTTATATATCACTGAGTGTCCCTCCAGCCCTCCCCAGGCCGCAGCTCCACCCACCTGTCCCACCGGCCACACCTGGGGTCCTGCTTCCCCTGGGCAGCCCATGAACACTCGCTCGATAAATATAGCTCCTCTTGACCCCTCACCTGCCCACCCCAGCGCTCTTCCCTCTAACCAGCCTCTCCAGCAATACTCCTGCCCCTCCCTGCCGCCCATCCTGGAACCTGAGGTTGCCCTCAGTCACCAGGGCCCCTAGCAAGTGGTTGCTGGACCAGCAGACTCCTGCATCCAAAGCCCCGCCCTCTCTTTCCTGCCTGGGAGGAGCTGTCTAGGGGGTCCCCTCCCATTTTCACGTGGCGCCCCAGTGCCACAGGGTTTCTTCAGCTCCGGTTCACGGCAGCCTGGGGCCTGCACCAAGCAGTGTTAAACGTGGGCCAGGAGGAAAGCAGCTGCCTGCAGGAGGGCTCTCCAAGCATATCCAGGAAGGCTTAGAAATGCAGGCTCCTGGCTGCCTCACACTTGGGGAGTCAGAGTTCTGGGGTGTCTGGGCGACTTCAGGTGACTGCTCCGTGTCAGGTTTCCATTTCCGACTCGTGGCTCCCCGCAGGAGCCCCACTTCCAATGAGCACAGGGCTCCAAATCGACCCCCTGGCCTAAGAGCTGCAGGAGGGTCGGGCTGGGCCCTGGCGTGCAGGGCTCGTGCCCCAGGTCGCTGTGGGGATCTCGGAGCGCAGGCTGTGGACCAGGAGGGGCAGGGCTTCCCGGGACAGCGGCTACAACGCTGGCCAGCAGCGCAGCGGAGCCCAAACCATGTGGCTCAGGGTGTGTCTCTTCGCCTTCTCCCTCCTGGGCGGGGTGCGATACCTCTGCCTCAAGCCCAGTGGCCCGAGTCCGGCAGACCTGGACGGGCTGGAGTGCAAGAGCACACTGCAGACCACGCGTGAGGCTTTGCCGTGGGGCAGGAGTGCGTGAGCGCGAGAGGAGGTGCGCTGGACAGAGGCCTCCGGTGCGAGGGGCGTAATGCCCAGGACTGGAGGAAACTGGCCCAGAGAGTGGGGAGCTCCGAAGGCCCTCAGGGGCCAAGGGCGGGACCTCCTCCTTCCTCCCCAGCCTCCAGGTGGAAACTCTCCTGGTCGCCAGGGTGCAGAGGGGCTGAAGCTGGTCCCTTCCCTGCACCAGGCTCCAAAAGGATCAAGCGGCCCCCGAGTGAGCGGAACCAGCTTGACTCCTGGTCCCGCTCTGGGCGGCGGGGTGCAACTGGGCGGGGCAGGGGCTCCCCCACGCACCGCGGCCAGCGCCATACGCACGTGCGGCGGGGCTGCGTCACAGC